AGTATAGAAGAATTGAAGTAATGGTGGCGGCATGTATCCAACGATGCGGGAGCATTAAAGTAAATGAAGCGTAACGCTTTGTTTTCCTTTGATTTAGTTTTATGAGTCTACATCGGATGTAATTGAATTATGCAAGTTGGCGCCATCTCCGGCAACAGACGACTTTATTAGCATTCGATCATAATAATATATTTCGTCTTACATACACACACACAGGCACTGCAATATACACGTGAGTAAAGGAAGGCGCAACTAGAAGTATAAAGCCGTTGGAATGGTGTGGAATAGTAGCTTTGCTCCTTTCTGTGCCACACATTGCACATGTTCCGCATTTCTCTCTACAACAGGATATCTACATGGATACGCTTTTTAGTAATGATATTTGAATTTTAGATGCTTGAGAAACATAGGAAATGAGTTGGAAAATATGTCTGCGGTTTCTCTTTACACTTTTGCCATTTCGAAAGGCAAAAACTGTCAACATGTAAAATGTCAAAAATATCAAAAAACTGCAAAACTAATGAACTAAGAAAAACACAATTTAATAACGACAAATTATGCATTAAAAATTTTAGATTGAAAAGCGTACGAGTCCTGCTAACAAGCTTTCGCTTTTATTTGATTCCCCAGGGCGTGCATGAAAAATCGATTTGTCAAATATGAAACTATTCCAGTAAACCAATAATTAATATGTTTCCGTAAGAGTTGCCATTGTCAAGGGATCACAAAATTCAGCAATCAGTCAGTCAGTCGCTCTATCGGTCTCTGCAAAAGCGTTACAATTTGTTTGGTTTCGTAAGTGCTGAGACAAAGTGGTGGCAGGGCAATATGTCAAATTCACAGGTTTACAGTTTCAGCATTTCATTATAAAAAGGGTGGGTGACATCATTGCATAATAAACAACCACCCTCATACTGGGTTCATATAAACGCCCGTTGCCCGTGTCCAATTACTTTCAGATTACTTGCCTCATTTTTATTTATTTGATTTTCTCTTCCGTTTTACGTGAATTCTGTCACACAAAACTTCAAAAGCGCCAATACACAAATCACAATCCAAACACTGGTTGCTAGGTAAATATTCCAATTCTCTAGTTGAATTTCGCATAACTCATCCTGGGAGGCACAATAGTATCGAATATCAAGAGTATCGATGAAAGTGCGTGAGATGCGTACATCAACAAAGTCTTATACACAAACCGAATCAATGGCAATGGCAATTGGAAAAAATACTACAGTAATTGTTAACACAGCCCCAAAAGGCTTTTGGCAAACAAAACTGAGGCTAACTAATAACTACTGGCTGGTTCAGCGGTCAACTACGGTTTGATATTGCAGCGAGGCTTCGGCAACAGTTTTTGCTGCTGTTAAATGTCGTACATGACTGCAAAATGCATGGATGAACGCCTTGGCACACGGATTGCATATCAAATGCTTAACTGACCAATTGGGTCATGCATGCAATTACGACCAGGCACAACGTTGTGCACATTAGTGCTATTTTTTCAGTAGCTGCTCCTGGCTTTCGTCCTTATGAATGAGTCTGTCAGTTCATTGAAGCTGTCGAAATATCTCACGTTTGTCGTACGTGATCAAAGTTTTCAAAACCTGACTGCCTGCTTTTTTTGCTAGATTATGTGTGTTTATACGCGAAGTCATACAACTTTTATACTGAGCGATGGCTTAACAATTTTGCTTGGCAAAAACTTTCAACGTGCAAGTTACTGTGGTTGGGACCAGCTCAATAAAGTTAAATAAAATATTATTTACAAAAAAAAATATAAAAAGGGTATAAGAAATTTTAAAAATTCCAAAAAAAACACACTCACTCAACAGTAAAATATAAAAACAATTTTTTAAATGTATCACGTCCAGATATACTCGTACGAGTAAGTATCTACAGATCGACTGGCTTTCCAAAAATCTTTAAATTGGCAGGCAGGTGTTGTTGTATATTGTTGAATTAACTTAAATTGCTTTAAATATATTTCATCTTCTACAATGTTGAATACATATTTTTTTCGGAAAAAACTGAATTTAATAAATTTAATAACATATGAGTACAAGAATAATATTTAGCAGTAATAAAATAGTACGGAAGTAAAATAACATTTTTACACTTTAAAAAAATATTTTCCTGTCTATGAAAAATTAGCAAAAATCATTTCATAGTAAATTTCGTCCTATAAGTACAAAATTGACACCAACATTTTCTTAATTTTTCTTCTTTTATTTCTATTTTAGCCTCTCCCTGTGGAGCAAAGGGCTTCATTAATTTATCTTATAAACTTTGAACTACATTTTGATCACGATGCACACCAAATGTATCTGTGCTTCAAATAGCTCTGCAGATAACCGCCGCATTTCGAGTGAAAAGTGCATACATTTCGATACGCCAATGCCGTTTATCAATACAAGAACAATTGCGACAGAGTAACGGTGATGTACGGAGGCTTAAGTACGCTGGGGGAAAGTGGAAAATAATGACCTGACGTAGATCTGCTCCATAACATTCTTTAAAATATTTCCAATTCTTGTGACGACTCTAAAGTTCTAATTGCCTTCAATATAATTTTGTAAGGAAAACACTAGTAAAATTTCATTGATAAGTTAATGTATTCACGAGGTTTGGCCCTAGGGAGTCAACTTCACAATATAATTTACCGGTTTAACTGGTCAATACTAATTTCATAAGTAAACTTAACAATTTGTATAAATTAACTTAAAAGCTATGTTTTATATCCAAACTTATTTGCCAGATTTTTAATTTTGCAGAGGTATAATTGTAGGTTTAATATAATTAAGAATCTATTAAGACTCTGTTTTCCCAATCCTTTTACTGATTCGAAAAGGGGAATTAAGCATAATTCCGCTTTTTCGAACATGTCCAATTGATCATGGATTTCATGCCGTTTTTTCTAATATACTACATGTCAATATAATTTAGTTGTCGACGTATTGGGTCTAAAGTGAATTATTTTTTCATGAAAACTGTCAACATAAATGCCAATGTAAATAGTTAACTTTTGTAAAACGACGATATCTTGAGAATTTATATAAGTATATATGGTATTGAAAAATGATAATGTTTTTACTCGAATTCCCTGCAAATATTAAGAACTTAATCTCAAAATCTAACCTTACTATCTTTCACACGCTTTTTATCATTTATTATGTAGCAGTGGGTTGGAAAATTGTTTTGTGTGTTCTACACAAATTTTTTTAATAGAATTTAATATTATTTTTATTAATTGAAAATAATAATATTTTGAATCCGTGCTACCACATATAATATTTACTTTTGTTATCCTACTTTTCATATATATTTCTGTTGCTTTTTGAAGCTCTTTATACCACTCAATACTAACTTCTCTTTTCGTGCATCACTGATTGACTTCCAAATAGCTCATATATATATGTAACGTAATGATTTGTGTTTATGTGCCTCCGTATGATAAATATATCGACAATGAATATATTACAACGTAGGAAGAAATTCCGAAGTCAAGTATCGTTGCACGTTTTAATCCCTCAGCAGCAAACCATCATCTTTCTTTACATCACATTTCATCATTCTTATATACCAAGTAGTAACAGATCTACTGGTTTAACTTATATCAAGTTAATTAACAGTTACTTTCAACATATTAGGTGTAGTAAACAGAAAACCATTATTTTCCCAATAGATGTCTCGCTCAGATAAGGCCAGCTTTGGGCAATATGAGAGGAATTGTCTTCCATCCGGACAACGCCAGGACCACACATTGATAATGCGGCGCCAAAAGGAACGGGAGTTTGGTTGGGAAGTTTTTAATCATCCACCTTCTAGACCTGACACCAAGTGATTACCATCTATTCCTGTTCATGCCAAACGATTTTTCTGGAGAAAAATTCGCTTCAAGAGACGCTTGTGAAAGTCGACTGTCTCAATTTGTTCCCAATAGTGACAAGAACTTCTATGAGAAAGGCATACTGAAATTACCTTCAAAAGGGCAACAAGTTATCGAACAAAATGTCGCGTATTAGACCTGAATTGGACCATTCTAACTATTGTAAATAAACCTTAAGTTTCATGTTTCATTTTTCATATTATGAAATTTATGCATATTTCAGTTTCATATTATAACAAATTTATTGCTAATATATGTTGTACTCTAACTGCAACTCTATTTATTCAGTGTAGCTTTATACTATCTCAATCAATTAAGAATACATTCCGTTGAGAAGGTACAGTTATCAAAATTGTTCAATTCAATTCACTAACATTTATAACATTTAATCCACTTTATATCAATTATTCTTCTTTTGTCTTTTCTTCCAGGAGATGATTTTTACCGGTTGTTGGTTTCTATTAATAAGAAGGACAAATCATGCAACAAATAATGCCTCTACGAAAAGAATAGTATTGAAATTTAACAATTAAAAATAAAAATATAATTAATTAATTAATTCAATTATTCTACAGCTGGTTTATGATTTCGTTCTAATATATAAATACAGCAAGTAAAATTGTTAATAAAAACTTTCATAGTAGAAGTAACAAAACTCCAGAAAAATATGCGAACAAAAAAGTCAAGTACGGTTTTGGATCAGTTGGTTAAGGTGCGCTGATTCTGAGCTTCACATTTGGCAGGACCCGAGTTCGATTCCTGATATTTGCAGTCTCAAAAAAATTATTTGCGAATAATTTAATACAAGAATTATTTCTAAGACCACTGATGATGGGTTTTTGGCAATACTCGAAACAGCTGTATGGTCAGCCAAAAATTCAATTAATTAAAATAATACGAAAAATAAAATTTTTGTTGTTGTAGTTCACTACTGTTCGAAAAACCTCTTTATAAAATTAATAATACTAATATTTATATACTGAGCTTGAAAACTTTTTTATTTTTTCGTTTGACTATCATTAATGGTTGCAAACTGTTAGAACATAAATTTACACTATCTGAAATAAAACTAATTTTTCAGGTATAATCGTAAAGCCTTTTTCTAATATTTTTAAATGACAATGATAAGCTCGGTATGCATGTGTTTATTCCAAACGTAGATTTCACATAAAGCTGCTAAGCAACTGGCGATGGTACCGGCAGCAAGTACGATCCAGGCAAATCTATAATAACTTAATTTTAGTGGCTCGACCGGGTAATCATCTAGTAGCACAGTGCCGTATTTTGCACGTAGAGCCATAACACCAGCATCAGTCTTCCACTTTAGCCATAATCCACTAGCTTTAACTCTTAATAAAAAACTGTCCAATTCTTTGAGAAATGATGCGTTCACATGCACTGGAAAAGACTTGTAACACCAACCAAAACACTCCTCGGATAAAGAAAAAAGTGGTTTATACATTTTAAATTGTTGCATATGTAAAAATCTCCAAGTGTCTTCTAGAATGACATACCCAGCGGAGTGATTTAAATACTTAACGATAGGTTTAAATTTAACTACGGTTGCACTTCGTAATAATGATGCTCTTTCGTTTGATTGCGTATATTCCTCAAAGCTTTCGTGATGTGATGACGGTACATTAATGACCAGTTTTGCATCCAATATATCGGAAAGAGTTCTGATTCGTTCCCGAAAGACTGGTTTCATGTTGTACGCCGTTAGATAAGGAAAATAATATGCACTAAATATGAAACCGAACACAAATAACAGGGTGTAGAAGACAATCACGCGTATAGGTGCATTTCTTAGTTGTATATTCATATTGGGACAGTAGAGCAATATAGCGACGCTGTACGGTATATTACGCAGTATCGAATTGGATGCGGTTTGCTTGGGATATTCAATAAAACTCATTAAAATTGCAATGTAGAAAATACTGCAGAAAAGTGTGATCCAAATGTATCGATCAAAAGGCCAACCGACATACCAAAATTTAGGTATTTCATCGTCGAGCGGGACTAGTATACATTTTTTCGTTATTTCCAGTGGGTAACTGTATTGGATAAGTTTTTTACGATCCGTACAAGTGACACCATGTAATGACGTGTTGTAAATATTCCGACGAATTTTGTCAAAAATTTCACTGGAATTTAGTGTATCAACTGTTTCCAGCTCTAGATTATACTTTTTATATGCAACAAAATTTATAATTGCTTGCAGGTATGGGCCATAGTATGATTTCTGATTCTCCACATGAATGAAAGTAAAAGCACGGGGTGGATCTTCCACAAATGGTGAAAAAAATTTATCGTTGATTGTTGACATATTAGAAAATCCTTTTATGTAAACAAAAATTTTGTTTTGAAATTAATTCAAATTCGAGTTTGAATAAAATATTTTATTTTTTATTAAAGCACAGCAAAAACTTGCGGAAAACTATAAAGTGGCTAACGCCTGTATAGCGTTTTTATATGGAAATTCTGATTTTACATGAGCATTATAGTGACCTTAATTCACCTTTATTAGACCGAAAATCATTAATTTAATTGTTTCTACACTCGAAACCGTTTAATGTGAAAGCTTTAAAAACAAAACAAATTAATAATTGGTGACATTTAAGGATATTTGCATAATGAAATATTTACATACTTGTGCTATGCCATTTAACGTTTGCAGAAAATTTAATCGCGTTAATGTTCTATTTGCATGCATTTTTTTCTCCTTACATACACGAGTTTTACACTAAAATCGTTTTTTAATTAATTAGAGAAAATATATATGTTTAAATGAATTTTATTAAAATTAGTTGAAAATTTGTTCAATGAATTATTAATAAAGTACACTGACTACCTTCTATTGAAAATAGAAACAATGCGTGCAGAAAATCAAACACTAACCTTGTTCTAATATCAATTAATTGAAAAGGTTGAAACATAAATGGATTGAAAAATAAAACTCCCTCAATAGTATAGTTGAAGTAAGGAATTTAAAGAAATATCTCAACTGAATACCAAAAAAAAGTATTTAAAATCGCATTTAAAGAAATTATATTAAATCGTCTATCAAAACTAAACAAAAATTTTCAATCCATCGAATTCTTGAGCTGACATACAGTTGTTTTCGGTATTTCAAAAAATCCATCATCTATGGCCTTTTAAAAAACCTGTTAGTTTAGTTGTCCGTGTTAGTGCTGTTTACATTAATCGGATATTTTAAAAATTGAGTAATTCGATTATTCGTTTAATCATATAGCAACGAAGCCTCCGGAATTGAAAAAAAAAAATCGGATTTTTTGTAAATCCGGAGTCTTCGAATATCCGGATTCGCGATAATTATTCGTAATGAAATTATTCGGAGACTTCATGAAGAAAACGTGCTTTAAGTATATAAATAGAAATTATAATTATGTATATATAAGTTATTTGAAGTATAAATTTTTTATTTAGTAATATCTAATAGAAAAAAGAAAAGAAAATAAAACACAGATATTATTATCAGCGTAAAACATGAAATACACAAAATTGAGCAAACCACAACAAACTCAAATCATCCCTAAAAAATTTGTGTTTATTTGTGTGATGGACATTCTTTAACTTTTCCTCACGAAGTCTTCGATTAATTTGACTGCAAATAATAATTACAAACCCGGATATTCGAAGACTTCGGATTTACAAAAAATCCGTATGTTTTTTTTAACTTCGGTGACTTTGTTTACTATTCGATTAATCGGATTCTCCGAATACTTCGTAAAATCGAACATGAACAGCACTAATCCATATATAAATTTGAACCCTGTCAACTTTAAACCGTGGGCCATTTTATTGGACAATTGTATTGCATAGGACTTAGTTTGGAATCAAGACGATAACTTGATGAGTGTAACATACATTAGTAAATATGTTTATGGAACTCTTATTTAGATAAACTGTCAATTATAAAATTGGTAGTAGTTTTTTCTCGGAGGGACTGAATAAATCTATTGACAGGAATTGCACCCTGTCACTTTATTTATTATTTATTTTAATCAGGTAATTGTAATGCATAGGAGTTAGTGTCGTATCAAGACGATAACTTGATGAGTGCACATTAGTAAATATGTTTATGGAACTCTTATTTAGATAAATTGTCAACTTTAAAATAGGTAGTGGTGTCGGCAGTGAAGTTTTCTGGCTGGAACTGAATAAATCTGTATATTATAAGCAGTGATCCGAAAGCAATCATCCCAGCAGAAGTAATTGCTATTAGAGAAGCTATTATTGAATAAGATATATATTGTTGATAAGATATATTAAACACCAAACAGTCCAACTACTTCAAACTTCTTGGTTTTTGACTGCTGCGCAGCTCTGAATGAAATTCTGACGCAATTTAATATGTTTCTACTCTAAGTTTCCGGTAATAAGGATATTTTCGGTAATTGCAAGGCAGACGAGTTAGCCTAATGGGGTGCTTCTGAAAATCATTCGGAACATCTGAAAGATCTTGGTATAACGCTAGCATCAGGTAAACACTTTAAAAATTTTATTGTATTTACTAATTTAGAATAGGTAGGAAGACTCAACGACATCAAAGATATTCTGCAATTAAATGCAAGTTGTTCTCGTTTAATTCGGAAAAAATCAACCACTCTCATTTAGCTGCCACTTAAAAGTATCAGTCTTGTGATGCGTTTAGGCAACTATGCTGGAATAATAAATCTTCTGTTTAAGTATTCAGTGCTTCAAATCTGTTGTGTTACTGTCAAGCGCATATGCAACATCGATTGACTATACTACAGAATAGCTCTGAGTTGTTGAACGGTAGCACAATGGGTCTATAGAATTATGTGAATCCTTAGGATCTAAGGATTATGTGAATCTAATCTTATGAGACATCAATTGATGTTGATTGTTATTTTTTTTTAAATGCTGACTTAAAACAATTATATACTAAATTTAACACTTTAGTTCTAGTCAAGCGAAAAAAATATTACTAGTTTTTAGAGTGGAATTTTTTTAGTTTAGAATTATTCATATATGAAAATCTAAAATGACATTTTAACAAAACTTTTTGATTAAAATACAGCAATTTTTTTTATTTTGAACAACACTTAATGCTCCATACACCCGCGTTCCATTTTTTAAGCGAATATATTAAATGAATAAATTAGTAAAAGTAATATTTGCTGAAAAATAAAATAAAATATTCCGTATGTTTTATATTTTTTAAATTGAATATTTTCTGAATGAAATGTGGTTAACTTAAACCAAATTTAAAAATGTGGAAACCTCCAAAAATATTTATTCAAATTAAATTTGCATAAAATTTCGAGTAAAAAATATATATCAAACACTTTGAAATGCAACAAAAATGTGATGGACAAATACAATGGATATTTTGATGATTTTTACTTTAATCTGCATGCTAAAAATATTTAAATATTAATTCAAATTGAGATCAACTTTTTATGCACAAAAAACCTCAAAAATATATTTAATATGCGTTAAACATTTTATATAAAATATTAACTACATCATATCCTTGAGCCTAATATCAGATTTTGTATAAAACTTTATTGTTTATTGTAATTGTTGTGATATAAATTTAATTAGTACTTCATTTAAAATACAAATATATTTTAATTTTAGCATTTTAAAAACTCAACTATGTATATATTTTATAATAATAAATTGGCTTTTGGCAACTATTAATAAAATACATTCAAGTCCAAAGCTTACAAACTAAAATGGTATCCATGGCATTTATAGAAAACAATACACAGCAGGATAATTAGTGAGCCTTAAGCAATTTAGAAAAAATTACACTGCACATACATATTCAGTTAAATTGATATTTATTTAACCATTTTATCTAAATTTATAGAGTCCTGTGTTATTATTCAAGCAGCAGAAAATTATAGCCTTCCAATTTGTAAATATTTACAAATAATGAAATTTAGCAGCTTCGCAGGAATATCTACTACATAATTTTGCTGGACATTTTCCTTTATGAAGACACAAATCATTCAATTAAGTTTATGGAAATGCAAATATTTGTATAATGAAATCCTAGGAAAATTTTAATGAACTTGAAATCATAATAAACAATAAATATTCAATATTCTTAAGGATACAAAAGTTACACAAAATTTATACTCATAATACCAAGCAGTAACACCATATATAATATTTCATATTAAAACCACATTCTACCTACGAAATTATTCTGGAAAAGCTAAAATTTACTGTCCTGCTATTTAAAAATCCAAGAATTATTTCGATAAAATATGTTGCCTACACAAAAATGCCTCAAATGTAGGAAAATGTTGTCCTAGAAAGAAGTTTTATCAGTAACATGCACCTTTATTTTGAATTTCCACGAAGTCGCCATATGGGCAGGAATGCTTGTTTGGCCCAACCCAAAATTAATCCAACAAAAATAAGTATTGTATGGTCAGGTCATTTTATTGTGATTTTTATCGATGTTGTTTGTGTATATGCAAGCTAACATTTTACTTAACACAAAATATAGTGTGAAATTTATTTAATCAGGAGACAAAGGTGTGGAAGAGTAAACATTAGATATTCTGCCTATAAAATAACAATGAATTCATTATATGTTATTTTGTTGCTTTCACTACAAATTTAATGGTGTTTTAAATTGCAAGGATATGAAGATTACGAGTACATTACTTATATGAATTTATTATATGTCATACGGGACAAAAAACGACGTACCCCAACTCAAACACTATAATATTCAACTATATTTAAGCTAGAGACTTTTATCTGCATACGGGGTTTGTTCAAAAAATAAAGTGATTTCAAATTTTGAACACTTAGCATATATGACGCAAAATTTTTATTTAAGTTGATATACGAATACATGTTCTTATGTAGACAATGTGAGCAGTAGCAAGGCGTCAGCTTTTTGGCAAGGTGTTCACAATTTCATCAAAACAGAATTCCAACTATAACGTATTCCCCCTACTCCTGAGTTTTGTCCTTTCCACAAGCAAATAGCGTACAAGACCAACAAAACAATTTATTTAAATGTTCGCAGCCTGTGATCTACTGGTTTTTATGGTAAATAGCTGTAGGAAAACGGCGACTTACGACAGATTTCGACATTTTTACATCAGGTACCAAATTCTTCATATCTGGAGTTGGTCTATTCATTTTATGAATTAAAACCTTTTTTTGAGGAGATCGTTTAAAAAAAGATATTTGAATCAAATCTTTATTCACACATTTATCCATTTCTAAATATTATTTTTCACTTCAAATTTCTTTAATTTTTTTCTTTACTTTTACCATTTGCTAGTATAAAATTGCAATAATGACTTT